TTGTTTCATCACCCAGGTATCAAGCTCAGTACCCAAATAGTTATCTTTTCTGGTCCTCTGTCTCCTCCTACCCTCCCTGCTTAAGCAGACCCCAGTATCTGTTTTCCTCTTTGTGTTCATAAGTCCCTATCATTTAGCTACCACTTATAGGTGAGAACATTCAGTATTTGGTTTTCTGTTTCTGCACTAGTTTGCTAAGGATAATAGCCTCCAGCTCCATCTATGTTCCCACAAATCTCATTCTTTTTTATGGCTGCATAGTATTCCATGGTGTATATATACCACATTTTCTTTCTCCAATCTGTCATTGATGGGTACTTAGGTTGATTTCATGTCTTTGCTATTGTAAATAGTGCTGCAGTGAACATTTACATGCATGTGTCTTTATAGTATAATGATTTATACTCCTCTGGGTATATATGCAGTAATGGGATTGCTCAAACAGTAGTTCTGCCTTTAGCTCTTCAAGGTATCCCCATACTGCTTTTTACAATGGTTGAACTAATTTACACTCCCGCCAACAATGTATAAGTGTTCTGCAACCTTGCCAGCATCTGTTATTTTTTGACTTTTTAATAATAGCCATTCTCACTGGTGTGCAATGGTATTACATTGTGGTTTTGATTTGTATTTCTCTAATCTGTGATACTGAGCTTTTTCCATATGCTTCTTGGCCACATGAAAATGTCTTCTTTTGAAAATGTCTACTGATGTCAAAGACCAATTTTGGCAGTGGCCAGTTCTGCTCAGTATCTGTCCTCTTTATTCTCCAGTCTTAGGCACAGGCTGTGAGCACTGTCAGGATTCATGCCTCTTGGGGTGGAATTTGAGTCCTGTGTTGGAGGCTTCAGTATGACACAAACCTCCTGAAGGCTTCTCCTACTGAACCTCCTTTGTTGGAGGCTTCTCCTACTGAAGAGCCTCTAACACAGGAGGCTTCAGGAGGACAAAAAATTGTTCCTCATCTGCTACCTCGTCTCCAGCCATAAGGTAAAAAGAGGCATTACCAGAGGCTCCATCAAATAGGTTCTCCTTCCTTTGATTAATAGAAGGAGCCCAGTCTTTCAGGTGTTTCTCCTTTGAAGTATATCTTACTAAAATGTCTACCTCTGAAGTTCATTTGCAACCTCAAATGCAACTCTCACTAATGTATATCTGCTCATTAGACGTCTAGTTTCAAGAGATGACAAAAGCATCATTTACTCCCTATATGCATCCCTGAAATACCTTATTTTATTGCTGTGGACACTGAGGTCTGGCCAAAGTTGGATGACTTGCCCAGGCTGGCATTAAAATGCAGTTCTCTTCTACCATTCTTTTCTGTCTCCATGCTATATTCCTTGAATTGATGACCACAAGTGTAAGTTTAGTATTGCCATAAAGTTGGGGTTGGGGCTTTACATGCAATGGAAATGTTACTAAACATCCAAAGTTTACTGTCTTATTCCTATATATTCTGGATAGGAAAGTAAAATACTCATGGAGCAGAAAGGATAAATTTTTAGTTATTGGTAAAAAGCATTTTGTTACACAACTTCTTATCAATTTTCTTTGAAAATCGTATTTATAAAGGCTTTTGTTTTTGGCTAAATTTATATGTTAGACATCTGATTACTTTTATTTTTACTTCTTTTTGCAGCAGCAACATTAAGAAAATTGTGCATTCAGTTGTATCATCCTTTGCATTTGGGTTTGTGAGACATAGAAAGCACCACGTATTAAACATATCTGAGACTTAATACAGAGAAAACACCATGTATTAAATATATCTGAGACTTGGCTGGGTGCAGTGGCTCATGCCTGTAATCCCAGCACTTTGGGAGGCCGAGGCAGGCAGATCACCTGAGGTCAGGAGTTCAAGACCAGCTTGGCTAACATGGTGAAACCCCATCTTTACCAAAAATACAAAAATTAGCTGGGCATGATGCTGGGTGCCTGTTATCCCAGCTACTCAGGAGGCTGAGGCAGAAGAATTGGTTGAACCTGGGAGGTAGAGGTTGTAGTGAGCCAAGATTGTGCCACTGCACTGCAGCCTGGGCGACAGAGCAATACTGCTGAGACTTAACATTTCAATGAGAAAGACTAAAATAAAAAGCAAAACCAAAAAGCATTTCCACCGTCCACTGGTTGCTAAGTAGACATGTGCCCCATCTAATGTAATCTAATTTATCATGGAATTTTGGTTTAAGCTGGACATGAAGACTTGCAAAGAAATGGGCTTTGCCTAAGGTTAATAGGAAAATATTAATATTGTTTTTCTTCCATCTGCAAAAGTAAAGTTAATGAAAATTGAATGTTAAAATTCTGTAAGTAAAGTGTTTTATTAAGTACATTATATATCTAGAATTACTCTTTAATTCTGGAAACAATTTACTTAGACTCTACATAAGAGTAAGATTTCATACTATGATATAGATTTACACAATATAATTGTTTCCTTTTGAATTTATGATATTTTCATTTGAGCTGCAATTTTTTTTAGTTTTTTAGTCTTAGTTTACTAGGAACATTTCCCAAACTCCTTAAGATATGAATACATTAATGGAAGCATGATTCCAATTTATGAATATATCAACAGTTAATCACCTATCACTGGATATTCAAGTTGCTTATTTTTATTTCAATTAATATTGCTCTTATATGATTTCCTAGAAATTCTGATCCTCCTATTGCCCCACCATAATTACTTTAAGAGAGAATAATAACTTTTGACCACTTTTCAAAGAAAAATATCCCAGAAGACTGTAACTTTTCTCTGTAAGATGCTTCCACTTTTGCACTGATGACAGATAAAATCTATGTGCAAGGTCTATGTGGGCTGCTTGGGAATCCTGCTGGCTCATGTGCTCTCAAACTAATGTATTTAGGGATTTAATCTTGGAGACTGGCCTAGTAAGGATTAATATGCTTTTCCTTTGTCCTCCTGATTATAAAATATATTTATACTTTCAGAAGCTTTTAAACCTCTTCTGCAGAGAATATGTATATAACTTATAATCAAGTGCTTGATTATAACCTCTGTGATCTTTTCTATAAAATGGATGATAACAAATCTGAGCCATGATTTTCCTTATATTATTCAGGAAAACTGGGTTCTCGAATTTATTAAATTGATGTTTCCAGAATGTAAGTGCTCTGACATAAGATGACACCTCATTTCTTTCCAAAGGCTTTCCAGTGTTTGCTATGTTTATGGTTTTGACCCTTCATAAATTCTTTGATGTACAATGTACTAAAACTCATGGTTAAAGAATGTAATATTTATTGGCTGGTCTCAGTGGCTGACACCTGTAATCCGAGCACTTTGGGAGGCTGAGGCAGGCAGATCACTTGAGCCCAGGAGTTCAAGACTAGCTTGGGCAACATGGCGAAACCCCACCTACAAAAAACACAAATATTAGCTGGGTGTGGTGGTGCCTGCCTGTAGTCCCCAGTACTTGGGAGGCTGAGGTGGGAAGATAACCTGAGCCTGGGAAGTTGAAGTTCTGGTGAGCCATGATTCTGCCACTGCATCCCAGCCTGGCTGACAGAGTGAGACCCTGTCTCAAAAAAAAAAAAAAAAGAGAGAAAAAGGAATATGTTATTTATTGAATGATTTGAGTAACTTTTGAGTTTTCTTACATCTACCGAAAGCTAAATGATATCTGAGGACTCTTTTGATGTATATTAGATATACATGATTAACTCAATGAATTCTTTGATGTAACAATATGACAATGTATGGTAGTCCTCCGTTAACCATGGGGCATATGTTCCAAGACCCCTAGTGGATGCCTGAAACTGTGAACAGTACCGAACCTGATTTCCGTCAGAACCCATTTCTTTTTTTTTTTTTTTTTTTTTTTGAGACGGAGTTTCACTGTTGTTACCTAGGCTGGAGTGCAATGGCGCAATCTCGGCTCACCGCAACCTCCGCCTCCTGGGTTCAGGCAATTCTCCTGCCTCAGCCTCCCAAGTAGCTGGGATTACAGGCACATGCCACCATGCCCAGCTAATTTTTTGTATTTTTAGTAGAGACGGGGTTTCACCATGTTGATCAGGATGGTATCGATCTCTTGACGTTGTGATCCACCCGCCTCGGCCTTCCAAAGTGCTGGGATTACAGGCTTGAGCCACCGCGCCCGGCCCAGAACCCATTTCTATTCATGCCTTCCACCCACAAATTTAATGTCTTTTTCACTTAGCACTTATCATGCATGTACTATGGCTATAACTTTTGCAATTTGAGGTGTGACAACAAAACTAGCACAAGATTCTTTTTCCTTCTTCACAATTTCTTGGATTCTTACTATAAATATTAATAATCTCAGCATACAGTTTTCTTTATTAAGTCAACAACTTTCACCATATCACTTTAAAGAGTCCTTTATAGCTTACTTTTGGTGTATGCAAATTGCCAACATCACTACTCTTGCACTCTGGGGTCACTATATGATAAGGATAGCTTTCATGCAAGCACTGCAAACCCATGGCAGTCAATTTGACAACTGAGACAGCTAATAACTAATGGGCAGGCAGCATATACAGCATGGATATAATACTGCAAAAAAGGGATGATTCAAGCTGGGCACAGTGGTTCACACCTGTAATTCCAGCACTTTGGGAGGCCGAGGCAGGTGAATCACTTGAGGTCAGGAGTTTAAGACCAGCCTGGCCAACATGGTGAAACCCTGTCTCTATTAATAATACAACAATTAGCTGAGTGTGGTGGCACACACCTGTAATCCCAGCTTCTCGAGAGGCTGAGGCAGGAGAATCAGTTGAACCTAGAAGGTGGAGGTTGCAGTGAACCAAGATCGTGTCACTGCATTCCAGTCTGGGAGACACAGCAAGACTCCATCTCAAACAAACAAAAAGATCATTCACTGTTTTGCATCATGAGCAGGAAAGAGAATGACAGTGCAAAATTTCATCACATTATTCACAATAGCATGCAACTTATGCCTTTATGGTCTGTGACATACAATGAGAGTTGGTTTAACACTAAAGATTTCCCACATTCATTACATTTGTAAGGTTTCTCCCATGTGAATTATCTGATGTTTAATGAGAGCTGACTTACTATTGAAAGCTTTCTCATAGACACTGCATTTATAGGGTCTCTCTCCATGTGAATTTTCTTACGTTTAATAATTGGTGCCTTCTGGATAAAGGTTTTTCCACACTCACTGCATTCGTAGAGCTTCTTCTATGTGTGAGTTCTCTGGTATGCTACGATGACTGACTTCTAGCTGAAGCCTTTTGCACATTCACAGCATTCATAAGGTTTCTCTCTGGTGTGAGTTCTTTGATATACAACTGTTTGCTTTCTGGATAAACACTTTTTCACATTCGGTACATTCATAGAGTTTCTCCCCAGTTTGACTTCTCTGACTTTTATTAAGGGCTGGCTTTTGGTAAAGGACTTTCCCTCTTTGGTTAGGGTCAAAAAATTTCTCTGCAAGTTGAGTTTTATGAGGATTAGAATGGAGGCATACTTTCCAATATGCCTTACATCCATCATCTTTCTTTCTTTCACAGCTTCTATTTTGACTAAGAAAGTTTATGTTTGGAATGCATTTTCCCATGAGTAATATTTAGGGAGTTTTTGTCTTACAGAATCAAAGTCTGTGCTGAGATAAATGCTTTTCTACATGTTCTGCATTCTTAACATTCTTAACCACTTTCATCCTTCTGTGTTTCCTTGCCTATGAATGCAGCTTGCCACAGAAGTTTATCTTGGCCTTTCTTGCAGCAATCTATCTGCTCATCAACTTGCCAGACTTCTGCACAAGTCGTTACCAGGATCCCTCCATGTGCCATCCAGGACTCTTCTTCTGGTCCCAACCTGAAGATCACATCTGACTTGGCAACTAGATGCCCCACGGACACCAGGTGGCTGTTGTTCTCAAGCATGAGATCCCTGCAGAGGTTCTTTTGGGCAGAATCCAGTTGCTGCCACTCTTCCAGGGTAAAATCCACAAATACGTGGATCAGTGATTCCTGGGACATGGCCACCCTGTTCTGCTTTGGACAAAGGATGGAGATCTCCTCCTGGGGCCTCAGCCTAAGTCTTATGAGACAAAGTGAGGAAGCCAGGCACAGATAAACTGGAGTCTGAAGTCGGTGAGGAGTGGTCTCAGGTCTGCACTCTGACCTTCATTGCCAAGAGCCTGAAACCTCAGAGGCTGATGACAACAGCCTGAGCTACAATTCTTTAAAAAGTGCTTTGAAGACTAATCCATCTTCATATATTAGGCAAATAGTATAATCAATTGATGGGGAATATACTGAGAATATGTAACATATCAAGCGTCAGGAGGTACCTTAGAGTTCAATACTATATTGAATTTTTTCTCATGTGTCCATCACTGTGCTAGAAGCACCCATAAATACATAATCATGTACTTGTTGAAAACGTCACTGACAAAAAATCTTGGTCTTCTAAGAGCTTATGTTACTCATGCTTTCATTTTGTTTTTATAAATAAATTCTTAAGAATTATCCAGATTAATGAGGTTTTATTTTTTATGAGAAATTGGTATAAACTTCTTATAAAATCCTCAAATTTTAAGAAGAGTTTACAAACAAACACAGGTAATTTTAATTCAGTTTTACTTTTCTCTCTTGAGGTGTCATTCTGATATGTCTACTATAAAAGGGCATGATAACATCCTGTGAAGTGGTTTAGTGGGAATTTTATTTATTAAGAACTGCTTCTATTGGGTGAAAACAGTGATTTTCCTGACTATGGCATTACAGTTTTTCCTGACACTGGGCAGTATAATTAACATAAAATAACAACATTTTAGTTCCCAATCATTGGCCTAAATATAGTATAACTATAGGGACAAAAGCCCCTTTACCTTTGCTATTATTTACTTACTTACTTATTTATTGTCAAATATTTGGAGTTTTCCTGATCTAATTGGTTGTGGCTCTCATCCTTGCCAACCTAATTTTCACTGATAGCAAAGTGTATATTCTTTTGGAATATTGTTCTATTTCTCTAGCTATTGACTTATTTTATCTCATGATAAAATACTTCTTGAAGTATTTATAGAAGACTAAGTTTGATTATTTTTATAATGCATTGTACTTTTATAAGAAGCACTTTGGAAGGCCGAGGTGGGTAGATCACAAGGTCAGGAGTTTGAGACCAGCCTGGCCAAAATGGTAAAACCCCATCTCTGCTAAAAATATAAAAATTAGGACAGGCACGGTGGGTCAAGCCTGTAATCCCAGCACTTTGGGAGGCCGAGGCGGGCGGATGACAAGGTCAACAGATCGAGACCATCCTGGTCAACATGGTGAAACCCCGTCTCTACTAAAAATGCAAAAAATTAGCTGGGCATGGTGGCGCGTGCCTGTAATCCCAGCTACTCAGGAGGCTGAGGCAGGAGAATTGCCTGAACCCAGGAGGCAGAGGTTGCCGTGAGCCGAGATAGTGCCATTGCACTCCAGCCTGGGTAACAAGAGCGAAACTCCGTCTAAAAAAAAAAATAAAAAAAATTAGCCTTCCCAAGGAAGATGGGTACAACAAGCCCTGACAGTAAAAACTACAGTTAATACCTAACTCTTCCATGCCCAGACACCAAAGAACATCTGCTAACATCAACACTATCCAGGAAAACATGACCTCACCAAATGAATTAATAAGACACCAGGGCCAATCCAGGAGAAACAGAGATATATGACCATTCAGACAAAGAAATCAAAATAGCTGTGTTGAGGAAAGTCAATGAAATTCAAAATAACACAGAGAAGGATTTCACAATTAGATAAGTTTAACAAAGAGATTGAAATGCTTAAAGAAGAATCAAGCAGAAATTCTAAAACCAAAAAATGTAACTGGCATACTGAAGAATGCATGAGAGTCTTTTAATAGCAGAATTTATCAAGCAGATGAAAGAATTAATGAGCTTGAAGACAGGCTATTTCAAAATATATAGAGGAGACAAAGAAAAGAATAAAAAACAATGAAGCATGCTTATAGGATCTAGAAAATAGCCTCAAAAGGGCAAATCTAAGCAATACTGGCCTTAAAGGCAAGGTAGAGCGAGTGGGGGATAGCAAGTTTATTCAAGGGGACAGTAACAGAACTTTCCAAACCTACAGAAAGATATCAATATCCAAGTACAAAAAAAGTTATAAAACACCACCCACATTTAACTGAAAGACTACCTCAAGGCATTTAATAATCACACTCCCAACGATCAAAAATAAAGGAAGGATCTTAAAAGCAGTAAGAGAAATAAAACCAATAATATACAGTGGAGCTACAATACATCTGGCAGCAAACTTTTCAGTAGAAACATTTCAGGCCAGGAGAGAGTGGCATGACATATTGAAAATGCTGAAGGAAAAAAACATTTATTCTAGAACAGTATATCCAATGAAAATATCCTTTGAAATGAAAGAGAAATAAAGACTTTTTCACACAAACAAAAGCTGAGGGATTTCATCAACACCGACCTGTCCTGGAAGAAATGCTAAAGGAAGTGCTTCAATCAGAAAGACAAAGACATTAATGAGCAGTAAGTAACCACTTGAAGGTATAAAACCCATTGGGAATAGTAAATACACAGAGAAATGCAGAATGTTATAACACTGTAACTAGGGTGTATAAACTACTCTTATTCTAAGTAGAGAGACTATGAGCCAATCTAAAATTTTAACTACAACTTTTCAAGACATAGTATAATAAGATAGAAATAACAAAAAGTTAAAAAGTAGGAAGACAAAGTTTTAGAGTTTTTACTTTCTTTTTACTTGTTTATGCAAAGTGTTAAGTTATTGTAAGCTTAAAATAATGGGTTATAAGATAGTATTTGCAAGCCTCATGGTAACCTCAAAACAAAAAACATGTAATAAATACACAAAAAATAAGAAACTAAATTATGTCACCAGAGAAAATTACCTTCATTAATGGAAGACAGGAAGGAAAGAAGGAAGAGAAGACCACAAAACAACCAGAAAACAAGTAACAAAATGGTAGGATTAAGTCCTTACTTATCAATAATAACATTGAATGTCAGCGGACTAAACTTTTCAGTCAAAAGACAGAGTGGCTGAATGGATGAAGAAACAAAACCCGCCAGGCATGGTGGTTCATGCCGATAATCCCAACATTTTGGGAGGCCGAGGTGGGCAGATCACAAGGTCAAGAGATCAAGACCATCCTGCCAACATGGTGAAACCCCATCTCTACTAAAAATACAAAAATTAGCTAGGTGTGGTGGTGCACATGTGTAGTCCCAGCTACTTGGAGGCTGAGGCAGGAGAATTGCATGAACCCGGGAGGCCGAGGTTGCAGTGAGGTGAGATAGTGCCACTGCACTCCAGCCTGGGAACAGGCTGAGACGCATCTCAAAAACAAATGAAAAAGACCTATTGGTCTGTTGCCTACAAGAAATACTCTTCCAGGCTGATCTCCCAAGGCATGGTGCCATATTAAAGGCTCAGTGGAAGATGGCCGAATAGGAACAGCTCCAGAGTGCAATTCCCAGCAAGTACAATGCACAGGGTGAGTGCTCACTGCATTTCCCAACAAGTTTTCACTGCCCACAGACCAGGAGATTCCCAGGCCAAAAAGCACCATGAGTGTTCAGCATGACTGGTGCTGCAGGTTGGCTCATAGAAACTCACACAAATCTGGGTGGCTGTTTCAACTGGCGCCTGGAATGCCTGGGAGACAGAGCCACCCATTCAACTGAAAGGGAGGGGGCTAAGACAGGGAGCCAGGTGATCTAGCTTCGTGGGTACCACCCCCACAAAACAAGCAATCTGAAATGCTCTGGATTGAGAGTCTTGCAGCAAGCGCAGCTGGACCCAGGATGGTCCAGCTCAGTGGGGGGAAGGGCATCTGCCACTACCAAATACCACCACTACCAAGTCTGCCAATACTGAGGCAGTTCACACAGCAGCTGGGCAGAGCCTGCGGCAGCTCAGGTGTCTACCAATACCTCTGCTGGCAGACTGTGACTAGATTACTCCCTGTGGGGCAGGGCATCTCTGAAAAAAGGCAGCAGTATGTCAGGAACTTATAAATAAAGCCAACTTTCCCAGGTCAGAGAACCTGAGAAAAGAGTTAGTTATGAGTTCTGCTGCAGCAGACTTAAAGGTACCTGCCCAGCAGCTCTGCATGGAACAATGGAGCTCCCAGCACAGCACTTGAGTTCCCATAAGGGATAGACTGTCTCCTCAAGCAGCTCCCCGACCCCCTATACCCAAAGAGACACCTCATAAAGGAGAGCTTAGGCTGACATCTGGCGGGTACCCTTCTGGGACAAAGATAACAGAAGACAAAACCAGTAGCAACCCTTACTGTTCAGCAGCCTTTGCGGGTGATCTCCAGCCAAGCAGGGTCTGGAGTGGACCTCCAGCAGTCCTGCAGCAGAGGGGCCAGTTAGAAGGAAAACTAAGAAACAGAAAGAAATAGCTTCAACATCAACAAAAAGGACATCCACTCAGAGACTCCAGCCAAAAGTCACCAACTACAAACACCACAGGTAGATAAAGCCACTAAGATGGAAAGAAACCAGTTCAAAAAGAATGAAATCACCAAAAACCAGAATGCCCCTCCTCCTCCAAGGGATCACAACACCTCACCAGCTAGGGATCAGAAATGGATAGAGAATGAATCTGATGAATTGCCAGAAACAGGCTTCAGAAGGTGGGTAATAACAAACTTCTCAGAGCTAAAAGAGCTAAAAGAACATGAGGTAACACAATGCAAAGAAACTAAGAACCTAGAAAAGAGGTTAGATGGGATGCTAACTAGAATAAACAGCTTAGAGAAGAATATAAATGACTTGATGGAGCTGAAAAACACAGCATGAGAACTGTGTGAAGCATACACAAGTTTCAATAGCCGAATTGACCAAGCAGAAGAAAGGATATCAGAGATTGAAGATCAACTCAATGAAAAAAAAAATGACAGGCAAGAATAGAGAAAAAAGCATGAAAAGAAATGAACAAAGCCTCCAAGAAATATGAAATTATGTGAAAAGACCTAATCTACATTTGATATGTGTAGCTGAATGTGATGGAGAAAATGAATCCAAGCTGGAAAACACTCTTCAGGATATTATCCAGGAGAACTTCCCCAAACTAGCAAGGCAGGCCACCATTCAAGTCCAGGAAATACAGAGAACACCATAAAGATATTCTTCAAGAAGAGCAACCCCAAGGCACATAATTATCAGATTCACCAGGGTTGAAATGAAGGAAAAAATGCTAAGGGCAGCCGGAGAGAAAGACTGGGTTACCCACAAAGGGAAACCCATCAGACTCAGAGTGGATCTCTCTGCAGAAGCCCTACAAGCCAAAATAGAGTGGGGGGCAATATTCAACATCCTTAAAGAAAGGAACTTTCAACCTAGAATTTCATATCCAGCCAAACTAACCTTCATAAGCAAAGGAGAAATAAAATCCTTAGCAGACAAGCAATTGCTGAGAG